TATGCCTTCCTGACAAGTGCCAACTAGCACCAAACCTAGGTCCAAGGCTTCCTACCTATTGTCTCCTACCATCTGGTATATAAATGACTATTAATAATGTGAAGTGATGAAAATGTGATTCCACAGTGCCCAAGTTTTACACACATAGTAATGATGAAAATGTGTATTCGCCTAGATCGTGTTGTTTACTATCATCTACCTAAAATGAAAAAAGTGACAAAGAACAGGAAGATAGGAAGAAGTACTAGGAGTCCTCAAGGAGTGATATATATATATATATATATATATATATACATTTATATTCACTTTGCTTGGAAATCATGAAATGTATCGGCACAATAACTAGCCATGTTATGCTAACGTCTATATTACATGTAGGAGTTGATGTTTATGCCCTATCTAGAAATGTTTGGCAATTCTAACTAAGAAGACACTACGATTTTATGTATGGAACACCTTTAATATGCATTACTGTCTGTCTGTCTGTCTGTCTGGATTCAACATAGAACTTGGCACCGAAGTGCAGCAGTTCGAGTTGCCACCTTCCAAATAGCACACAGAGGTAGACAAGAAGATGAGTGAAGAGAATCAATACAATCTGACAAGTATAAGAGTGAAACAGAATGGGTAATGGTAGAAAGGAATATGAAAGATTACAGAGACTGAATACATAGTGGACACAGAGTGAAGAGGGGGTGAGGAGCCATCAAGTAGAGGAGTTGCATCAGTGGGAGGAAGGCGAAGTAATAGAGATGAAGATGAAGACAAAGATAAGTGAGGATTAGAGAGGTTTTGTGTGCATTTCGGATTGTGAGGGCGTTTGTTACTTCCCGGTTGCCCACACCGTAGAAGTTGGTTGCGTGACCGCAGAGCCCAGGGGACAACTGCTTGAGGCCGGTCACACGCGACCTGTTTTTGTTTGTTCTGTTTTGTTTGGTGTGGCTCAGTAGCATACTTATCACTCCTGCCCTGTGACACGGCAACAGGAAGCGCGGTCGTTGTTAATCCGGGCCACGGCCGATCCGGCATGAAATTTTGTGAATTTGTTTGAATCATTACTATGATTTATAAATTGATATCCACTCCGTTTTCTTTGTTTTTCCCGAACAATACAGAAGACAATGTATTCTAGAAACGAGAAGCGCCATTCTGTTTTCGTTGGTTGCTAACTTATTTTGAAAGAGAATTTTCCCACAGGGACACTTTGGTTTTATGGGAGGTATGTTTCATTGTTGCATTTATAATAATTGTTGATTAATTATTGTCAACTAATCAATATTAAGCATAGAATTTTGTGGCTTATCTCTCCTGCTCTGAAAGAAGACAGCAGACATTATGGTATGACGATCATTTAATGTCTCTTGTGAATATCTATCAGTTATCATGCACATTCTGTCCCTCAACTTCTTACATTTAATATTGTATTACGGTGAAGAATAATTTGCTGACAATAATTAGCTTCGTGACCACACATCACGTTTAAGAATAGACAGCTAACAAGCTACTTTTGCACCATACAGTGATCTGTTCGCATGTTATCTATAAAAGATTTTTGTCAGGGTTTTTCAGCAACCAATAGTTACTGTGCAATCGTGATTTGTTCATCTATGAAGTATGGATGTTTAAGGTGTGTTCGCTGCACTTTTCGTCTGTTAGACTAACTTTTGCTCTCGACTTGCTATTGGTTTCACTTGTTTCAAGAATGCTGTACAAACCCTTGTAAAGTTAGGAGATATTCTGAGTTGGAAACGTTTTGATTCCTGCACAACTCCGGGGCTATTTGCATTATTCACGTTTGAGTCAGTATCAATTCATCTACTTTAATTTATTGTACGCTAACTAAAGATTCATACAGATTATGTTTATCTCCACTGGATATGATTGCTTCAGGATACCATTTCAGACCTTATAAGTTGAGTGACAATAACTCCTAGATGACTTGCAAAACTACTGTCAGTGTAAACCAGTAGTTTTCAGCAACTAGCTGAATATATATGTAAGATTGTGGAGCTAATTTCGATAAAATATTCTGCAACATCGACACCGATTTCAACCTAATGAAAATTTATTGTCACCAGAAATGTGATTCGGTTGGCTTATTTGCATTTTGAATTCGCAACTGGATATAGACTTTGTGGACTTCCAAGATGGATTTCGCACCGTCAACACATTTCAGATAGTTTCAGCAAAGGTGGGATTAGAAAGGAAGGCTGGTAGATGTCGCCGAGTCATTTTTGTGTGTACACTGAGTCGGTAATTTACAGTAGTAGCGGCAATAATACCATATATAACGTCACTTACCACCTAGTACTGCGCCAACTTATTCCTACAGTTGGGTAGTGATCAAGGAGAATATTTTGACAATTTTTCGCTGCTGCTTCTTGCTTCTCTAATACAGTTGGTACTATTCTGCAGGTTAGTGAGTCATCTTCACTTCCCTCTGTGACCACAAACAACGGTGAAAGCCATAGAAACACCCCAGACAGCCTTTTGAAGCCACGTCGCCAACTTCATATAGGAGCATTTAACGTCAAGACCCTCTGCCAAATCGGACAACAGGCGCATCACTAGCAAGAACTCTGGCACCTTGAGCCGTAGATGTATGTTGTGTTTCGGAGACACGTATACAAGACCCGAGTGTGGTCATTCATTTAACCTCACCGGGTCAACAAGGTGAATCAGCAAAATTCACTTTAAGGTGTCAGAAGACCCCTCAGCTAGCTCGTGAGGACTCGCAGGTGTAGGGGTAGCACTGAGGGGTGAATCGCATAGCAAACAAACCAGGATTTCTGCTCAAAGTGTTCAGAAGAGATTGTTCTTTGTCATTGTCTTCATGTTGAGGATCTGTATCATGTTGATACTGTAAATCGGCGAGATGGTTTCCTGATAACAAGTCAATCCCTAAGTATACTTTATTTACTTATTCAAATACAATACAATACGAGCAAGGGAATATGTGCCATAAAAGAAATAATAAAACAATATAAGGTAAATATGAATAGAGTAAATGAGAGGCGACATCGGCAAGCCATCCCAGCGTTATGTTTCATGAGCATTCAAATCGTGGTTGATTTCAGGTTTGACTGTCAAAGTAGGTGGTAGAATGGGGTCAGTTGGACTAGCGGAGCAGAAAACCTTGCAAAATGTAGATCAGTTGACCCTAACAAAGTAAGAAATCTAGAAAATAGCTCAGCTTTGGGACTGCATTCAATTACACACAAGCATACAATGAGATTAGGGAAGATGGAGTCTCGAAATGTAAGGTAACAGGGTGGATGGAGAGACTGATAACGGAAGCATTATGTGTCAAGAGACTAATACTTCAATGATTGTCTCGTTTTAAAGGTAGGCGTGATAAAAGCCTCACTTCACACTGACGGAACATTCTCATCAATTCCTCATGCTTTCCTGAGTAATCCAGTTAGTTCCGCGACTAGAGTCTCACAGATTTGCAGGCGAATTAGGGAAACCTAGTGGTTTGTAGCGAGGGATTCTTCTAAGGCGCAAGAGGCTCAACTCACCATTTCCATGGCGTCTTGTGAGTGCACCCAGTGTTCGTCTATACTATCTGAGAAGTTAATAATGGGTAGTCTTGACTGTGGTTAGGTTTCATACACGGTAGCGGAAGCAGGTGCTTCCAGTTTACCTACGTCAACCTGTTGGGGACGTTGTTTATGATCCCCACTAAATCTGAAGATGAACCTGGCAGATTCTAGAGCATGTGATCACTCCAACTGTCGATAGATACATAGTTAGATACAGCTGTGGATATCACGATTATATGAAAGAAATTTCTGAAGACGTAGGGTTATCCTACGTTACAAACTGTTGACCAAGCAGCTGCTAGAGTACAAAAGGATCGATTGAGACTAAATGGACAATGCGATTGCATGGTTCGCTTCAGAGATATATAGTTCTATTGTGTATGCTATGTGGACGTTGCTGAATTAGACCTGTTTGTGTCAAATTAGTTTGCAAAGTTTCAGCTGACTGAAGTTTGCTTACACATATAAACCTTCCTAGTGCCGTAATAGTCAGTCAGTGACCTTATAGTGTGATTCACCCTCCAGCCTTCCACATAGATACAAGTCTACAAAGTGACCAACAGGACTAACTCAATTGTTAAGACCGCACTTGTCAAGCAATATAGGCTCTGAGCAACAGTTAATTCTGCTTGTTTAAGACGTTATCAATTATATTGTCTCGTAATCTAGTCTGACGTAGAGAATGCGACGTATAACCTTGTAAGTCGATTGGTCTACTGTTAGTTTTATATAATACAGTTGTAATATCATTTGTTAATGTATTCCAATTTTTTCTCATTCATCAATGTTTACCACATTTATATATCGAGTGTAGTATAATATTCTGCCGTATAAAATAATAAACACGAGTATCAGTGTACTGTGCTGTATTGTATCTGCGATTTTCTCATTCCGTGTCGGATGACTGAGTTTCAATGTAAAACTTGGTACAAAGTGTAGCACTTGAAGTTGGCACACTCTATGTAGCACACAGAGGTAGAGAAAAAGCAATTCAAAAGAACTATAATCAGCAGAAATATATGGGAGAAAGGATGGTAATATGGAAAGACATGAGGATTTCATTATGAAGGGAGAATACATTTTTGCCGTTTAGAACGGTTTTGAGGTGTGTCACCGATAGTCTCCAACCATCAGTTCTTAGCCTCCTGAGGACTGTAACCAGAGAGTGGCTCAAGCCAACTCAACGATTTCATGGATTGATGCCGAGTATTAGTTTTACCACTCCTAGTTCTTTTCCAACCTAATCTTGTGCTAGCTAGCATTGCTGCTTGAGGTAGGCGATGGCGTGGTGTGCGCAACATGTGCCCTAACCATCTCAGTCTATGTAATTTCACAATGTCATCGATTGACTTCAGTGTATGATGTATTTACCTAACCGTGCAACTGAAATAGTTTCTACTTAACTGCTTTTCTGCTTTCTTCTTCTCCTCCTCCTCCTCGTCCTCACCAACTTAGCATGTGAATGAATTATCAATGGAAATTCCACTAGAAGAATCCCTTAATTATGCTACAGCTTTATTGTCCCAGTTAGAACGAATTTCCGATTCTTTACCGAAATCCGTACGAAATGTTATCGATGGACAGTCATTGGCGATGACTAGACATGTCAGTGAATCAAAACAGAAAGGAATCAATTATTCAGATCCATCGTCTATGTACGACTATTCGCCGACCCTATTAAATGAAGAATTAGAGGTGCTGATGGATAATGAAATGTATGAATGTATGAATTTAACACCTTGATTACAAACTGAACTGAGCAACTTGAGTTATGTTTTGCGAAATATTATATTTCTTCTTGTATCATTTTGATTTTGCTTGATTGCTTTTGTTACAAAGTCGGTTTTTCTATTTGCCAAAGCGAAACATAGTCTTCTGAACACTTGTCTACTTATCGCATTGATATTTGTAAGCATACATATGAAGATGACAGAAATCTCAGACTGTTTTTCTGAGCTGTGGGATGAGATGTAGGCTGTGATTTTTAAGACGCTAGGTAAGAGTCAGAGTTTGGAGCTTCTGTCAAGTGACGTGGGATAATCCACAGTATCAGGTATCTGTTCATCCCTTAATGTCGATGTTCCGATCAACACCACTGTCTGTCTGTTGGATTATTGTATTATTTCCCACACATTTTTGTTGTCTGAAGTGTCTTAATATTTCGGTTCTCTGCTGGTTTTCCGAAAAGTGACAACTTGGACTTATCACGTTGGTTTGTCCTTACATCTGTGTTTTAAGCATGAGTGATCGTATGCATACTGTTGTTGTATTTTGCTTAGCTTCAGTGATCGATGCAATCTTAGCCTAGTCATCTGGAGTTTCTCCCACTAAGCTATGAAGTCTCTTTTCATTTAATATTTTAAAACAAGAAATAATATGAGATTTCGTTCAGATATTAAGTCTCCACATGACTTGTCAAGCTGAGTATTTGATACATGTGATAATTTATATGAAATCACAACTTTTCAATACATAGAGTTGGAGACAGGTACATTAAGATGTGAACAAGTTACTGGGAAGTTTTGCGTCTAATAGATGCTGGGTTAAGAGTTCATTAGTAGATATGGATTAACGTCGGTGCATTATATCATGTGTTATCAGTTAGGTGGACATGCATCGGAAACCGCAATGTATCCAGAGGTATTTTCAACACAAGGTGACTACCCCATTCAGGGAGAAGTCATCACAGCTGATTGTTTTAGGGGATGTGTATTTATGCGAATGAGAAAAGAAAAAGTGGTGAATACACAATATGGACCAGTGGTCAGGTGGAGAAATAGTAGAGTTGGACATATTCAAAGCACCACGCTCTGACGCATTGAATATCACGATGTTACTTTGACAACGTGTCAGATTGTTCACCAGAGGCAATCAAGGTAAGGTTAGGAACCGTAGTTACCAGTCATCCAAATTGTGTGTATAGTTTAGGGTGATAGTGGTGTTTTTTCACACTTTAGGGGCAGAAGTGACCAGTGTCTGATAGGTAATTTCAAACATCATTTTGGGAGTTGATAAAAGATCATGAATGCGTGCTTAATATACGTGTTAAGTCTCAGTTAGTGTTTCGATTTACCGTAGCTGTTGTATTGACTTTCTATTAATTGTTCGCCTTTTTGATACCCGTAGGTGGTGATACCCGACCTTCTTCCAAATCAAACAACTCAGTGAAGAAATAATGTAGTTGCTAATTTTTATGTGAATTGATTGATTTACCAGAGAACTGAAAATTATGTAGTTGAATTGCTTTGAGCTCGCAGGTTGAAACACGTAAATGCAAGTATTAATTGCGTAGAGAACCAGCTTCCATAAGACCGTCGATCAAGGATTGCTTATCAGAATCAGACATCGACATCGACAAACAACACTAGGACGGTGTCCTTTTCTCTCTGCAGTTCACGTATGACAAAGCTTTCATTTAGCTTTCTGGGCGTCTACTATTCCCTCAGTCTTAATCATTCAGAATATGAGGCTTCTTGTTCAACAATGATATAGTTATGAGAACTGAATTGTGCTTCGAACGTCATCCAGTTATAAGTACTCAATTACTGATTCACATCAAATAAACATCTTTAATATGCAGTTGGTTACATAATGGATGTTGAGTGGTGCAGTTCTACGCTTATTATTAGCTGACGATAGTAGCGACCAGTAAACTTGTGGAGAGACATCTTCAAGACAAACGTATGAGATATCACTTCATGCGAAGTCGGTAACGTTTGCAAAACAATGAAGCTGAGTGGTTAGTACTTCACAAGAAGGCGGTATTATGCATCGTGTGATAAAGACTTTATCTAATATTCTTACACCAACAAATCCATACGGTAAGACAATCTTCGAGCAGGTGTGTGTGTGTGTGTGCATCCTATGGTGATGTGTTTCGACAGGCATGTTGTAGGATGTGCTTGGCAGGCCACAGTGTTGGTGTAATAATTCCAACTGGGTCGAATGTCGAAGGTACACATGACGAAAGAGATTTCCTCGTTAGCTTCATGTTAGGATAACGTGTTTGAAAGTAAGTAGTAGTGTTAGTTAATAGATCCTATTTTGTACTTAGAATCCTCATTTTTCTCTTTAGATGGTAGAATATTGATGTTTGTTTCTATACGATTTCCCTCTGGTCAGTAGGCTATTTTATTATTATTATTGTTCCCTTGGGTTCCTAGTGGAACATAGGGCTTCAACTGCACGTCTCCACTAGCTTCTGTCTTCTGTTGTACTTTTCACCCGCATCCATGTTAGCCATACTGTTTCAACTCCTCTTCACACGATCTCCCCTATGTCCCACTCGCCGCTTCCCTTTCGGGTTCCACTCGAGCAATGGCCTGACGCGCGCGCGGTGTCATCCAGCGGTCTCCTCAGCGAGCGAGTGTCCAATCCTTCTCCAGTTTCTCCTGCATATTTGTAGGTTGGCGATTGGTTCTTGTTTTGTTTGTTCCTTCCCATAGTTTCTTGTTGGTGATTCTTTCCGGGCCGGCCATCTGATCTTCGGTATAGAGGGCAGACAGTTGTTGATAAAGGTCTGGTCTGCAACAGGCTGTTGGAAATATTCTGTGTGACTAGCCCGCCAAGTTTCTGATCCGTATTGAAGAACTGACTGACTTGACGATTGTATTGAAAATCCGACTGAATTTTGTTGTTGATGCTGATCTCCGACCAGTTTGTCGGTTTTCACTTGTAAGTCTTCGATTGTGTGTGACATCAAGCATAAATCATCCGCGAAATCCAGATCTTCTAGGTTCTTCGCGTCGGTCCAAGATATCCCTGTCTTCTCGTTTCCCACTGTCTGACGCATAATCCAGTCAGTCCACCACAATTAGGAATATCATTCATTGGTGATAATAAGCACCCTTGTCTGTCTGACTCCTGTGTTTATTCCAAACGCCCCGCTGAGTTTTCCGTTGTGGATCACTTGACATGTGCCGTTGTCGTGCAGCTGTTGAATAAGGTTGATGAATATTTGGGGTACGCCGTAGTACTCGAGTAGTTTCCAAATTACTTCGCGGTCAACGCTGTCGAAGGCCTCAAAATCTATAAAGTTGAGGTACAGGTTTGATTTCCATTCCATGCTTTGTTCTGTGATGATGATGCGTAGAGCTACAATTTGGTCAGAACATGATTTGCCTGACTTTCCTGAATCCAGCTTGTTCTGGTCGGAGTTCTGTCTCCAGTGCGTCCTTTATTCTCCCCAGGATGATGTGACTCAGGATTTTACTTGGCGTCGACAGGAGCATGATTTCTCGCCAGTTCTTGCAGAGTGGGGCCTAAGTCGTCCTTCTTTGGTAGTTTCACGAGGTAACCTTTCCTCCAGTCAGTAGGCACCTTTCACTCCTTACAGACCTTTTGGAATTTGGTGATTGGGTTCCCTTGACTGTCTTTTATAGGTTTCGCTTGTGTTGATCTCTTCCCAGATAGAGATTTGGTTATCTGATATAATGTCCTCAGGTCCCTTTTGGCTGCTGCCTTCTCAGCTTCAGTGGCGAGGTTGTCGTAGAATCGTCTTTTGTCCTTGCTAGCATTCTTCTTCACTTCTTTGTCCAGTGCTGTGTAAGTTGAAGTCAGCGTCTTCTTCTCTTGTCCGTCCTTGCATTGAATCATTTTCTCTTTCACCATTCTCCTCTCCTCTATTAGTTTCCAAGTGTCTGTTGAGAGCCATTCCTTGTCTTGTCTCTTCTTTCTTCCTAAAACCGTTGAACACGTTTCGTTGAGAATCGCCTTCAGAGAGTTCCAATGTTCTTCCACGCATGATTCTTCAGTGATGTCGCATAGTGTTTCCTGCTTTGCTCTGACAGTTGGAGTGAAAGTGTCCTGCAGTAATTGAGTGTTAAACTTGCATTGTGGCCTATCCCCAGCTATCCTCGAGGCTTTAAGCATCACCTTGAAAGTCCTTTGTACTGGATAGTGGTCTGAACCCACATCTGCTCCTCTCCTCGACCTTGTATCCAGTAGGCTCCGTCTCCACTTTCTTGAAATTGAGATGAAGTCTATTTGGTTTTTGGTGTTTCCATCTGGTGAAATCCATGTCGCCTTGTGTTTGAAAACGCTGCCACCAATCACCAAATCATTGAAGGCTCAGAAGTCTGAGAAGAGTTCACCATTGTCGTTCATTCCACCGAGGGCCTCTCGACCCATGGTGAGTTCTCTTCCTGTGTTGTCTCCTCCCAGCTTCGCATTCATGTCGCCCATCAGGATTTTGATGTCGCCATTTGAGACGTTGTCCATTATTGCTTGTAGTTGTCTGTAGAACGCCTCCTTCTTCTCTTGTTCTGAGACGTTTGTAGGCGCATAGCATTGAATGATTGTAACCTTCCTTCCTTTTGAGTTGAGCCTGGCTGTCATGATCCTGGAGGAGATTGGTTCCCACTGCATGAGAACCTTGGCTGCTGTTGGTGACATCATGATGGTCACTCCCTTGGTGTGCTCGTGGTTGTCCTCTGTGTGACTGGAATAGATTATTGTCTCTCCAGTTGGTAGTTGGCACCTTCCAGTTCCCGTTCCATCTGCTCTCGCAGATTCCCAACACTTCTATTCTATATCTTCTCACTTCTCCGACTACCTGGGCAGCCTTTCCAGCTTCGTACATTGTACGAACAGTCGAGGTGCCCATCCTCACTTTTGCTTTCATCGAAAGAAAGCACATCGGATGACTGGCTTCCCGAAGACTAGCTTTCACCAGCCTGCGTCATTTCACTTCCCCGATTCCAGCGGAAATTGGGGCTATTGTTTATCTTTTTAGAAATTTTAAT